AAACGGAAATGGATTTTTTTTGTGCGGAAACGGAACAGCCTTTTCTGGTGGAACGGACGCAGAAACGGAATTTTCCATTTTTGTTAATTCATTCATGTGGGAATTTTTGTTTTGAATATCATATGGCTATTTTGTAGCCCAACAAACACATAATTAGGCCCTTCGGATAGTGAGCAGAATGACCCATATGGCCCAACTTCCATAGAACTAATGCATCGTGGACACTATTCTTGCTACAATACTACTCCCTCCGTCCCAAAATTCTTGTTTTAGATTTGTTTAGATACGGATGTATCTAATACTAAAACGTGACTTGATACATCCGCATCTAGACAAATCTAAGACAAGAATTTTGGGACGAAGGGAGTACTATTCAGCTCTCCTTTGGTCTAGAGTAATCTTGTAAGAATTTCATAGGATAGGATTTCTATAGGAAAAATTCCTTCAGAGCCCTTTGGCTTGTAGGAATGGAATCCTATTCCTATGGAGGAATTCTTCCTATCATTCACATTTCATAGGAAAATAAATATTAGCCTAGACTCAATGAAAAAATCATATGATGTGAATTAAAGGGCATCTCCTTTCTTATTCCTACTCATAGAATTTGAGGTACATGTCATCTCATTTTCTATGACTTTTCTATTGCTATAATTTTCCTACCCTATGAACCAAAGGAGACCTCAAGTTGTCAATTCAGTATGTCACCAGTATGACCGTATGAGCACTATTGTGATTTGAGATGCAATGTTTGGATGTTTGATGGTTTCCAGGTTTTTATGTTGCCAAAGTTGTATAATTATGCACAAATTGACATCTCACTATATATCCACGGCATATCTTAATATTTTAATGCCTTCTAAGTTCTGTGTTGTCAAAGTTCAATGGTACTTTGTTGGTTTCATTGTGTATTTTTCTACGGTTCAAGGGGTCTTTAATTTTGGTGAACACTCGATTTCATCTCAGTTTCCATTCTGTATTCGCTTCGATTTTGTTTCTGGTACTATTTGTTTCCGAGGCTTTTGCATTAGCTTCCGCCTTCGAAAATAAAAACAAATGCGGCAGCATTCAGTTCTGTCTGTTTTCGCTCAGTTTTCATCCTTAGGCAAAGGTGTACACGATCTCGCATTTTTTCGTCAAAGAAGGGTGTCACATCCCAACTTTGTGCTAACTGCATGAACTGTCCTTGTTACCCGGTGAACCAAAAAGGAGAGCGCTAGGCGTCAACCGGTTGTACGGGAAGAAAAGGCCAGCCACCTATACAACCATCCGATTATCACGTGTATGGCCGTCCGTTTGAGTCAGCGCATCGTCCTCCAGACCTTGCACCCTCGCATCCCATGCACCACATCGTCCTCATCCCGCCTCGCATCGCCCGTGCTCCATTCCCCGCCACGCACAACAGCCGCCCCCTTTGCAGCATCAACCATCACTATGGCGTCCATCTCCGCTCGCTCAGCGCTACGGCCACACAACAGCGCCGGCCTACCTCGCAACGTCCTTGGACACTTGCAGCAACCCCTTAAAACATTGCGGCATCGCTTGCACATCCTAGTGCCTACCCCCCACAGCACATCGACGAGGCGTCCATCCTTGCAACACTGGATTGTAGCAACGTCGATGCTATGACTAGCCCCTTGCAGTGCCGGTTGTACCTCGTTACAACGATGATTGCTACGACCACCCCTTGCAGCGGTGATGCACTCTATGGTTGCAGTGGCCACGAGGTCATGCGGTTGCAACACCGTTGAGAGAGAGCCACCTTGCAGCATCATTCACTGCCTTGGAGGAATAATGGTTGTTGTTATCACTTCGTGTAACACCGACCACTGGTTGTACCACTCCAGTGAGGTTCTGCGGTTGCAATGTTTGTCCCCTGTAGCATCAGGTACCCCATCCGGTTGATAGAGAAGGGGAATGGAGGGTTTGTGCACTCGCCGGGGCCTTGCAACACTAGAGTTGTTGGAAACAAGGGGGGTGCCCATAAAGCACCAGGTGGTTGTCCTCCACTCCTTGTAGCAGCCGAGCCCAACCTTATAGCGTTGACACCTGGATTGGCATGAGCACACAACGAGCAGCGACAACGCCTCCTCTTGCAACATTGTTGCGCCCGGGCAACACGACTTGCAACATCTTCTTCGCTCGCAAGACGATGGTGAGGTTGGGCTTGCAGCATCGCATTCGGCGTCTCCCCAGCTCTCCGTGCACACGATCGAGTCAGCTAGCTTGCTCGATTAGGTGGAAGGGCGCTGGGAAGAGAGATGGGGACGATAGTCAATAGGAAGAGCCAAAAGAGCAATAAACGGAAGATGAGGGGGTGGTGTTTTTTGATTAGTGGGGAATGATGGGGTGCGTGCAAGTGGCGGAGGCAGCATTCGTCAAATCCTTGTGTGGAAGAGGGGCGGTTGAAGGAAAAAACAAAATAAAATGCTAGTGTTCACATGCATATAGCAACAAAGTCATCATGTTGGGAAGGGCCTTGGCCCATGCTGGACGCCCTGCCTCCGCCACTGTGTACGTGGTGACAACTTTACCTTGCAAGCGTACTTCACATTGGTGCTTTGCCGAGAGAGATGAGCGCTCTATGCCGCACGATCGAGCGAGATCCAAGGGCATCGAAGGCAGCCGATGGGCCGATAGATTATAATCGGGTAAAAGGAAACGTTTTCTAATAAAAGAACAACAATGCTATTTTCTCAATTGGCTGACACGGGAAACGGGAAGACACACATTGCTACCAGCGAGGAAGAGATGCATTTTATTAGGGTAGTTGCGGAAACAAACCGTCCATGATCCATGTCCTTAATCCACGAGCCACCACACGTCTCTAATGTAAACAGATTGCCACGTCATCGCATGCATGCAGGAATCTTTTTGGATTTCCAGTTTTTAAAATGTTTTATCTCTTAAACGAAAAATCCGATTGAAAATCCGTTTTCACCATTAAATCCCTCACGATGAGATTTTCGAAACTAGATCCCATGTTGATATGTTTTGATGAAAAAAAATTTGGATTAAAAGTTGCCATGTCTATTGCATATGAATTGCCATGATGTTTACACTGAAGTTGCCATGATATGTTTCAGTTATTTTCTTCTACATTTAAAAGTAAATTTTGACATTTATAAAACGGGGAATTAAGAAACTAGACTTGCCATGAACCATAAACAAAAATTGCCATGATACATGCACGTAAAATTGTCATGGTTCATACAAAAAATAATTTTCATGGTCAAAGTACTGGAGTTGCCATCATCAAAATATTAAAATTGCCATGATCTACAAACTAAAATTGCCACATGGCAACTTTAGTTTAAGCCCTATGGCAACTGCAGTGTAAACATCGTGGCAACTTCTGGCAAAAAAATAATTCGTTGAAACATATCAACATGGGGTCTAGTTTTGAAGATCTCGTCGAGACGGATTTAATGGTGAAAACGGATTTTTAGTTCGCTTTTTTATTTAGGAGATACAATATTTTTAAGCCGAAAACCAAAAAAAATCTGCTGATGTCAACTATTCATACGTGGCAAAATGAGTGGTGATGTAGGCGTGTGGGCGATGTGCAAACGCCCACACGTGTGGGCGTTAACATTTTCAAACTTTCACGGTCAGACCGAGTACTACATTTGTATTATAGACTTATGCTTTTATAGAAAAGTTGCCCCCCCCCCATCCTTGTTTTTTTGGTCCCCACGCATCCCGTCCCTCTTAGTTTTCAGTTGATTTTTTGATATCTCAACTGATGCCGTGGAAAATTTGAACCAACATAAATAGAGAAATCTGGAATAATCTAAGTCAAATCGGTACTTTCCCAAAATCACATCCTGCATTAACTCAATCAAATTAAATCTTTTCAAAATCACAATAATATCAAAGCTTTCCTTTCCCTCCCCTACGAATACCCAAATCAAATCAACTGTTTATCAAAACCTTAACTGAATCAAACCTTTCGTTGCATTCAGATTAAATCTTATCAAAACGAAGAATGTGATGGGTGTAAGCCATATGTCAGATATAACTAGTGCTGAACTGGCCACAATTGCAACCCACGGGCAATTAACTAGTGATACTATAGAGAGCACTACATCCTAGTTTAGGCCACGCCTCTCCGGACAAGTGCTTGCTGAGCCAGCGAGCAGAGCCGGATCTACTACTTGCGTCAATTTCAGTTTCTGAAGTTTTCTCTGTTGCCATCAAAATGGCCGGCGGCAAAAGATGGCACGCCACCTGTCCACAAATAAAAGTCATGTAGGAGTAGAATCCCTAGTGCTGCCGCACCTTGCGGTGCCACCGTGCTACCAACAAAGGGCAAGCAAGCAAGATCCACCATACGCCATGCCGGTATGGAAGGGAACAGTTAAACTAACTACGCACGGCACGGCCAGCCATGCTTATCTCACAGGCAGGATGAGTGCGACCCTAACCTTCAAAAAGCCAGCGACACTTTTCGCTAAATGTTTCAGCGATGAATTGGCATCTGGTACAACCTAACTAAACCTAAGCTTCAAAAAGCTAACCCTTTTTTCATAGAATAATAAAGGGCCATGATGCAAAGCAACAAGGTGACGTTTCTGTTTTCCCTTTCGCTCCGCACCAAAGAAAATGGAATCGCATCTTAGCCAGAACCCACGTTCAGACTTCAGAGGTCACGGTTCACAACAGGATTATAAAAAAACAAACAAAAAAAAACAGCTTTCTGAGAGAGCAAAGAGCAAATGAAAACATGCAGAAGCTGCATCAGGAACTCCATTTCAGGGCCTTGGATCACACACACACAAGTAAAAAACACGCGGAAAACAAAAACAAGTGAAGGCAAGACGGCGGATCATTTATTTCACAAGCCGGCTTTGATATAGAATGATATACCAGTAGTTATTATTCTCCAGAGCGTCGAAAAAGGAATTATGAGCGGGCGTAACGATTTCTCTAGCTGAAACAAACATCAGCTCAACGGGCATGGTGGTAATACACCACCTTATTATCCTATATATTCCTCATGATCATGATCCCGCCCGGCGACGACTAGGCCTTGTCCGTTTTCTTGCCAGGGAATGACCTCCCGCTGCTTGTGACGAGGTTCTTGATGCTCGCCTGGATGTCCTTGTCCTCCAGTATGGACTCCAGTGGCACATGTAGGCCTGCAGCACATGTATTTTGGGAGAAGAAGTTAGATCCAAGGGGAAAAAAGATATGCTTTCCGGGGTTAAATAGTATACACAATGGGAACACAAATCGCATGCGAGGCTTCAAAGGTGTCGCTTTAGCTTAGAAAGGCTACGCTGACGAATCGTTCGAAAACGATAGTGTCCTACAAGTTCTGCCGGGTGTTATCTATTCGTCTGAAGTTGATGGGACAGCATTTTGATGATGCTTTTGTCCCCAGATATTAAATTGGTCCACCGTGCCACCTCCAGTGATGTGTATAGCTCCACATCAAATGGTTAAGTAGACACAGGCAGCAGCACATATGCTGAACTGTAAAAATGTTTCAACCTTGCCACTAAAACCAGACAAATCACGAAACAGGTAGTATATTGTATTTGCACGAAAAAGAGGCATTGTGTCAGGAAAAAACAACTCACGGAATCTCCAATAATGCCTCGGGTTAGTGGGGTCGTTGATTGTTTCCTCCGCTGCTGGTCTTGCGGTGTATTTGTCTTTCAGCGCGAGCAGATCCTGGTAAAGAAGAAACCCCAGGTATATTCATGTACTTGTTTCTGTTAAAAACCCAATCATAGTACCCCCCCCCTCCAGTACTTAAAAATATGATGTTTGGACATCTGATAGTCTCCAAAAGATAACTTTGATAATTATTTTGTACTGCAATATAATTATAAAAACCGAAAAATGTTAACATTTGAAAATAAATTTTGAGACAAATCCAATCCAATATTTTCAAATTTATTGGCTGTCAATGCTGTAAAAGTTTAGCCAAAATTATGTCCAAATGACATGTTTTTACTGGATGGACTATATGATACAGGTTGAAGTCCTATACCTGTAGCGGAAAGATTGCCCACATTGACGGTGCATCGAAATGCTGCTGAAGAATGAAGTTCACTACTTCTGGGGTGCAACGAGATGGGGCCTCTTTGTCGCTGCCAATTACAGTCTTGTAAAAACGACTTCTTGTCCCTTCATCTCCTTCCCACCAAGCACGTAATGTGGAGCAATCATGACATGAGGGAGCACAAACCTGGAAGGTCATCCAACACAATTTATCATGTGATGTAGCATACTTTTACTTATATTTCCAACTATTACTTTAAAATTTTTCTTAAAAAATCAGAACATAATACTGTAAATTTTCTTCTAAAAATTTAGAGTGTAATACTGGCAAAAAAGTGAAACACACCGTCATATAGCTGTACTTGGACGGAATATCAAATTCCAAGCCTGGTTCACTAGGCATTCTCTGGATACGCAATCCAATCAACCCGAGTTCTAGCATAACCTGGATAAATATCTTACTGTTATTTTAAGAACATAGTCAGCATGACCCAATAGTTATTTTTTAGCATGTGCAGGAAAGATGCCATACAGGGTGAACACAAGCAGGGATAAGGCCAAGATCTTCCCCGCATGCCAACATATCCGAACAGTTCAATAGAACAGGTAGAGTCTTCAGTGCATTTTGTCGCCAAAGATTTTCTTGGCGAACGAAATAATAGTCATGGTATAATCTTCTAAGGACATTTTTGCTGTAAAAAAACATGGATGAGAAGATGAAATAGTCAATAAATACAGATTTGGTTAGGACATAATGTTAAAATCAAGAGCGTACTATAAGCAAGAAACTAAAGTTGGTTGAACACTATTTTGATTATCTTGATAGCAAACTGCCTACTAAAGATATAATTCATTTTCCTTGAGGAAATGCATAATATGAACCATGACTATGCAACTAAGAGGTTATAGCAGTACGATGAAGATAAAAATTGAAGTATCTTCCAGGTTACAACATCACAATGCTCATATGCCGTTAGTCTGTTGCACTAAATACTTAATCAATATCAACAAGCCAGAAGAAACTTTACAGATCAACCAGAAGCACGTATAACTGTGAAAAAAAATATTACCTATGTTCATCCAAGTCCCTAAAACTTGAAGTATCTTCCAGGTTAAAGCGGGGATAGTACTTTGTGGAGTCCTCGGGATCTCTGATGAGGACTATATTCTGCAGAACAAACAAACAGATCTACTTTAATATGTTTTCAAAAATAATAGTCAAATTTTGTTAAAAAAAATGAGGTGGATGTTAGGAGAAAAATATTAACACGAGGATACAGTGTGTGCACAACAGAAGGCCGAATTACCTGTAGAAGATCGAACAGACCACGCCGAATACTGTCTTCTTTCTCCAGCCAGAGTGATTTTTCGGGACTGGTATTAAGCTTTGTAACAATCTTTTTCTCGGTGTTGCATTCCTCTTTGAACTATATGCATGAATGAACCAGTCAAAGACAAGTGAAATTAAAGGAAGCAATGGCATGTAAAAGAACATCAGGAAAAATTTCACATGCCTTAGATTGAGAAATAGATATGCTTGTAATAATTACTGAACTAATAATATGTTGCTATCAATAATAATTTGACATGCAGACTCAAGTAGCCCATATGTCCAACTGTTATAAAAGGAGAATATAACTGCTTTGCATTACCTCGTAGCAGTGTTTCTGATACTCGTGCAGAAAGTTGGCTGCAACAACTGTCCAAAGAGATCCAAACTTCTCCTGAAAAATGATAGAAACGTCATGCTGCTGGCACCCTCATCTTTATTGAAACAATTCCAGAACATCGGTTTGAACATGGTTACCTCCAGCATGTCCTGACGAATATATGGGCGGCTCATCCGATCAAAATCCCAGATACCATCACCTAGAAGCTCCTCCTGTAAGTGAACTCAGAAACAAGTCAGATAAACTACTATAGAGGTTTTCTCTGGTCCATTTTGTTTTTTTTAACGGATAAGAAACAAACCTGACTAAGAGGAATTGAAGGTCTAAATTTTCCACAAAGACCTGTGGCAGCATGATCTGGAAGCTCCCAGATCCTAAAGAAACCCAAAATATGGTCTATCCTATACGCTGTGAAGAATTTTGATAGCTGCAACATGCTAATAGCAGATGAGTAATGGCAAGCAAATGTGACTGCCAGACAGGGAAAAAAATAAAACAGCGCTGTTAATAACCTGTGTCAGACGAGCTCGCCACCACCCATAATTATCCTTTGACATCTCCTCCCAGTTATATGTAGGAAAACCCCAATTTTGTCCACTTTTGGCAAAGTAATCTGGAGGTGCACCAGTAGCGGTATTCATGCGAAATAATGTAGGGTATACCCAAGTATCCACACTGTTCCTATCAACACCAATAGGTAAATCTCCTTTCAGAATAACCTTGTTCTTCCTTGCATATGCAGCTGCCTCTGATAACTAATAAGGAGGGAATGAGAATGAATGTCCACAAATATATACACATTTATAGAGTTCTGAATGACAACGGCCAATACTTACTTGTGTAAATAGATGATATTGGACATAGTAGTGGAAGCGTATAATATCATGGTGCAAAGCATCTGCTGCGACTAGCTTGTCAAGCTGCAAGAAATTGCATAAAGAGACATCTCTAAGTAGCTGTGTATTTTCCATATGCGCTCTCAGAAAGAACTAGACCAAATCGCAGAATTTACTAAATAGAATGTTATTAGCAAGCTATGCAGGAAATATGAGATTATTAGCATATCATTTCCAATACCTTCTCCTTGGAAAACTGAGAAAACCGACCCCACTGGCTGTGATCTGATGTCTCGAAGAAATCCCGAAGAAAGCAAAATGCAGCATATGGCTTCAACCATTCCTATTGAAACATGGTATGAAAGCAATCAAATGTAGTTTGAAATAAGTGGACTAAAAAAATATGAAATGCCAGTAGTTATACCTCATTTTCAGATAAGAACTGCTTGAACGGAGCTGAATTTAGCACTTTGTCCTTTTCTAAATTAAACATTTTTTGGGCAATTCTGAGTTTCGTGGCCAATGCTGCCTCATAGTCGACGTCCTATTTTAACATTAGGGGAAAATGTTAGATCTGCAAAAAACTCCAAGAACCATTTGGGTTCCATGAGCAAATTCACACTTTTTGAAGTTTTTCAAATACAGTGGATGATCTGATTTAAAGAGCAAGCATAGCAAAAGAGCAGCAAGGACACGAAGTGCATCCAGCCCAAATGCAAAGCATATTCAGATCTTTACATTTGCAGTGATGACAGAAAATAAATGATACTTTATACACGTGAAAATGCATTTACCTTTTTGTCCAACTCCTTCTTTGCCTTCGAAATCTCTTCCTGTGACAATATGAAAAATTGAGTACCGGATCAAGTGATTCAGAATTGAAGAGATCAGTGAAACGAGAGGCCAAAACAGACTAGTATAAAAGTTAATATTAAAGGCACACAAAGTTATACCTTAACATCTGCTGGAATAGCATCTGAAAGTGCCTGCACTCTCAGGTACAAGGGGTGCAACGCAAATACGGAGAGTGAGCTGTAAATAAAAACATGTAGGACATTATTTTCTCTTCAGAAATGTGTCTTTCATACTTCAAGCGAAAGCACAAGGGAGGATGAAGCAGTGTATCTTAGTAGTACCTATATGGATATGAATCCCACCACATCTTGTTAACAGAAGTATCATTGATAGGAAGGAGCTGAACAAGATGAAAACCCGAATTGACTGCCCAGTCAACAAGAAGTTTAAGATCTGGGAATTCTCCAACACCAAGATCCTCATTTGACCTGATTGAGAACATCGGTACGGCAACACCAGCACCCCTCCATGGTGCTTCCTGATAAAACAAATGATAAATTAGTCTGACACGCTAGTTGTGTATGATGCATACTACATCCTCAGCTTTCTTGCCTAAGCACAACGTGGCAGGGTTCTATCTGAATATGGTTCATTTCCTAATACACCATAGCATGGTAAACGGTTGCGGGAACTAAATAGTAGCATGTACCTACCAAGCTTTCTGGCAAGGAATATATGAATTGCTAGAACATTCATATTGGATGACTCATTATGAATGCAGACGTTACCCGGAGGGAGCCATCAGATAATAAGATGTGTCTGGATGGCTTGGGTGATGATAAATCCACATCAACCTCTCTGTTTGGGCCGAACTCCAATGAAAAGACTCCTGCTTCACTAACTTGACAGTACTTATATGTGGAATATTATTAAGGACAACACATTAGTGTTGGTACAACAAATAATACAAAATAACGAACTAAGAAAATAGTTTTTTGCACAAGGATATTTTACTGGGAACTCAGACTTCCGCAACACACAGTAGGCTTTCCAAATGGAATCTCCAACATAGTTGAGCTTGAGACCATTTTGCTCTTTCCAATTTCCTATCGCGGGGTTACTTCCTGTGACGACAACCTGAAGTTTTGTGATTGGCAATAGTTAGGACACCAGCAAGTAAGTATAACTCATTGAACTATGATGCGATAAGGGCGCTAAGTACAACTAATCATAGCTTATAAACGGAAACATAAGTGTACGAATAATACTTACAGTAGAACCAGCTGCTAGCCGAGGACAACTGATAATAAATTGCACGACAATATCTGTCCAACAAAGATCATATAAGACAAATTCAAATAATGCTAATGTTGTACCGAAAAAGGCTTTCGCCCCGCTTTATATATAAAGCAAACCACCAGAGCCAAACAAGGTAACAAACAAGTCCAGGCCACACACACACCAAGTACGATAAGGTTCTGCTGAGGGCACAGCTCAATGCTAATGTTGTATCTAACCATCAAAGCAGAATTAGTTCATTTCTTTGTTTACTTTCAGATACTCCATTGGTAAAGACTAACTAGAAAAATTCCTTTAAATAGTAAATATTACAAGCACGAGACATCACCTGGAACGTTCTACAAATGCTATAAAGTAGGAAGGAAAACAAAGTTTTACTTAACATGTATTTAGCATGGAAAGAGCTTATGCTACATTCTTTATTATTCAGCAAATCTTTACTTTTGTAAAGATCAAAACCGATGGCGGAGGTCCGTTCATCTTGGACTATACCAACCACCAGATCTGCACCAAACGGCAGTCCTATACCCTATTTTTGTGTCCTTGTATTTATCTTGATTCCTGTAGAGATGCCAATGTTGCAAGCATTGCCAATAAACAATCTGCAAAAATAATGTTCATACCATTTTTCTTCAAATAATTGCAGTGGCTGTTTATTATTGTGGCGGCAGTCCGCTCATCTCGGACTATACCAACCATCAGAAATGCATCAAACGGCAGTCCTAAAATCTAAAAAAATTATTGCATTTATCTTGATTCCTGTAGAGATCCCGATGTTTCAAGCATTGCCAATAAGGCAATCTGCAAAAACTAATGTTCATAGCATTTTTCTTCAACAAATTACGATGACCTTTTACTATTTGGAGCCAGTGACTTGACAATCAATCCAACTGGACTTGCATGATTATTATAAATACTTTAACAGGTTTCAAGTAATCTTTCAACTAAATTTATTGTCGACCCGTAGCAACACGGGCTCCTAGCAGTACCTTTACTCTTATAAAGATCTGAGCTGGTTGGCGGTTCATTTACCTCTTAAGTTATTACAAAATTAGCACGGAGCACGTATGGTTGTTTCCATTGATCTAGATATTCAGATAATAGTTCTTCACTTTGCACGAACTCGTGGACTATGGCGGCACAAGCATTTAAACAATGAATAATATACAACAGATATAAATTCTGTAGCAACGCACGAGCATTTAGCTAGCATTTGTTTTAAAATCAGGTATGTGTTGATTGACTTCTCCGGTGCCAGTTGATTCCATCGGTTTGAGACTTTCAGTTTTAAAATAGTACCTTCAGGATCCAAACTTTTGTTGAGGGAAGAAGGCTGCAATTGCCTTTTAGCATTATCAGTTGCGCTGAAAATGACGTTCTTGAACGCACTTCGGAGGAAAAGAGCTTCAGAAGCATCCTGAATCCAGACGACGGCCAATCATAAACGGCAATTTTTAGGAACAACAAGCTTCTAGGACTAGTCTGACGAACAGCATTGCCAAGTGGTCATAGAAGCAGTAACATACCAACAAAAGATACATAGCATTCAGCTAAGTTGATAAGCCTCATGGTTGCTGCTAATGCAACTATTGTTTGTACAGCATGCAAATATACAGTAACAAGTAAGAAGACGGTTGAATGAACACATGGAAGTTTGAAAATCAGTACCTGCCACCAGTCGCGGACCTCGACGACGTCGCCGTCCTTGACGCCCTCCGGCACCACTAGCTTCTTCTTCTCCCCAGACTCCCATCTGAGAACGTTCTTGTGGTCGTCCACCACATGGTAGCTGTACTCACAGGTGAAGACAGCGGGGACTAAAACCTGGCCGCGCCAGACCAGCGCGTTCCCCTCGTGAACCGGGCTCAGGGGCAGCCCCTGCTTGACGTTCCAGGACCCGAGCGCCGGCGCGGAGCCGGCGATGATGATGCTCTGCCCCCATTGCGTGTAGTACGGTAGCTTGAAGATCAGGGTCACTTTCGCCATCTCTTCAGAACAGGCAGGCAGAAACACAGGCGCAGCAAGGTTAGGAGCTGAATGCATCAATGGCAAACAAAGAAAAGAAGATTTGCTAGCGTAAGAATGAATCCGCCATTCAATCTCGAAAAAAAAAGAATGAATCCGCCATTTGTTCCTTGGAGATGAATCACGGATCCAAGGGAGGGGTGGCTCTGTGATCCCCGCACACTACTCATTGTTAAATGTTTCCGTGATTCCGGCCCTCCCGCTCCCCATTCCTCCGAATATCTTATCAGCGTCGTAGAGAGATTCGAGAATCAGTAGTACTCAGTAGTGTGCATCTTTTTTTGGTTTCGCGGCGGAGAGACGTGGACCAGATTCGGAGAATCGCCGAATCCCCCCGCATTCTACCAATTCCCCCCATCCCGGCGCCGCCACGGCCAAGGTAGCTCAGAGGCGAACGGAGGAACGAATCAGAGCACCGCTCACTCGCTCGCTCACTCACCGAGGCCCTGCCTGCCTACGAACCGAGAAACAGAGGAGGAGGAGGAGGGAGGAAGCGGGTGAGGTTACCTTCACAGAGCACGGACGGCGCCAATGGCGGCCACGGACGGGGAGGGAATCAGCGGCAGAACAAGGAGGGAGGAGGCTCAGGAGAGTGAGAGCATGGATGGAGGCACGGGGGAGAAGGTGCCAAGGGATGGTGAAGAGGACGGGGGTGAGGGTGACGTTAACGACGGAGGGCGAGGCGGGCGGGCATGGGCAGCGGCACCTGTGAGCCGCGGTGACGGGACTAAAAAAAGGCGGCCTTTCTGGTCCGTTGCTTCCCTTCCCCCGGGTTTGTGGATCCGGGCGGGCGACGGGCGGAACGCTTCTTCCCCGGACGGCCACACGGGCAGAGCGGCGAGCCCGAGGCGGTAAAAGCTCGCCATTTTTTGTGTGGCTGGGGAGGAGGTAGCTCCCGCTGACACGGCGACACGTGAGGACGAGACGAACCGCAGTTGTCCATGCCATGCCGTCCGTCTCGATGCTCTGCTCTGCTACGGCTGCCTACGGCTGCAACTTGAGACGGATCTGCACGGGGAAGAGAGAGGTTTTTTGTGTGTGGCTGTGGGTGTCCATAGGGCAAGTTGTCCCATCTGGAAGGGATGAGGAGCGCAACAAATCTGGGCTGTACCCGATCTGAAATCTTTACCGTAAATTAAACTGCGCGTCAGACTGGCAGTCTGTCAGTGTGCGATTTGGTCCCAAGATAAGTTTATTTTCTCGCCGTAAACGGCATGGCTGATGGGATCTGGAACTGCCGATTCAGGCAAAACTTAGGCCAACTCTACCGCGCGACCTCAAAGGGACGTACGTTTTGTCCGGATTCTGTCTATTTGAGTAGGGCAATGGGGTCGTGTCTGGGCAGTTTTCGGGATGCGGTGGCCGTGCGCTCAGCGCGCGGCCGCATCCCGGCCGCATCTTGTCCGTGTGCACATTTCTTTGCAAGCCCTTAAACTTTTTTATCATTCATTTTTGTTACATGACAATACATCATCGCATTTTGACTAGTAAAATAAGGTCAAAAAAACAAGAACCATAAAGAATACATTTGAGAAGATACCCAACTTCCATAACTGCTTCCTTGAGTTGGGTTAGGGTCTTCTCGATGCACTCATTGTTGATCTGTGGAGGAGGCTCGACGTTGGACCCTCCTTTCTTCTTCAAGCCAGAAGTCGATGTTGCTTCCTCACACGTAGTATCGTGCCTAGCCTCTAATCTAGCAACAAGTGCACTTGTCTCATCTACAGCCTCTAGGCTAGCTAAAAGTGCACAAATATGTACTAAATTTCGCTCTATCAATATATCGATGTACTCTTCTTCCCAATACCAAAACTTGCATCCATTCTACACAATAAAATTTAAAGTTAGCACAACTAATCTAATCCCAGAGCACAAATCGAAGCTAAAAAGAACACATACCCCATCGTTTAAGCACTTGATGAACACCCATCCGGGATGCTCCGGCGTTGTGGACATGCGGCGCACGACCATCCTTGGGCAGTGGTCGCACTTGATGAGGGGCAACGGTGCGCCGACGAGCTTTTGGGCAAGCACCGAGCCCGGCTGGCCGCCATTCGTGTATCTGCCAGCGGACCACCGACGGTGCAGATCCGAGCGGCTAGAGGACGAGCCACTGCCTGCATGTGGCCTTGCGGCCCTGCCAGGGCCTTCCGGCGAGGTGCCCAGCCAGTCCATGGCGCGGCCCGGCCTCCCACAGCCGGGCGAGCTCAAGACCGACCGGATCCGTCCCAAATTCGGCCGGCGGGTGCGCAAACCTGGTGACCGTGGTTGGGTAGCTCGGCGGCGACGAGGGGAAGGGGCTGGGCGAGCGCGCGTCCGAGTTGCACGGCTGCAATGGCAGTGGTGGCGGCGGCGGCGAGGGGAAGAGTGGTGAAGAGTGGAAAAGAGTGGAGCGGGATGCGTCCGGAGGGAGGGAGGGGGCGGATAGAAAAAGGCCCGTTCTATGCCACCGACGGGCGGGCCAGGGGAGGACACGCGCAAACAGACGGCGCGTCCGCGTGGTGTCCGTTTCACCCCAAAAGCGGCGCCAAACTTGGGCCGCGGATGGGTCGAAAGCGGACACAAAACGGACAAAAGTCCGTTTACTCCCGCGCGCTGGGCCGCCTGGTTTGTCCATTTTACCCCAAACGGATGGGCCCGGACAGGATGGTGTCGCGCGGTGGAGTTGGCCTTAGCACACGAACCACCGCTTGTTTACTGCAGTGGCTGGTGAGGAGTGCGGCTTCGTCCGTGCACAAGCGCAAGTGCTTCGAGTTGGGCGCTCATAGGCGCCGGCGCGCCGGCCGAACAGTTGGGCCGGTCATCGCGCGAGCAACCGATTCAATGTATTTGACCCGTTCGATTTGGGTCTCGGAATAGAAAAAAAGTGCATCGCGCTCCGCTTTCGATCTCGGTTCCTCCTTCCTCGTGGGAACGCAGCGCTGCCTCCGTGACCTGCAGCAGACGCTCGCGTCTCGCTGGTCCTAGCCCTTGCCGCCGGTCGCCGCCGGTTGCCGCCCCTCGCCGTCATCATTTCCTGTCTTTCTCGCCGATTCTGGTGCCATGCATGGATGTAGCAAAAAGCTTCGTTGGCCGTAGCAAGACATGAAGGCGGTTGTAGCAAAAATCATCTGGCTGCCGTCTCGGCTCCGTGAATGGATGTAGCAAATAACCCCCCGCTTGTAGCAAAAGGAGATGATGGTTGTAGCAAAATATCATCATCGCCCGACCATCATAGGTCACAGCTCTACAATGAAAATGGATTTCCAGCAAAACACAAAAATGCAGCCTCTCCCATGTATCAAAAAGATTATCGGTTCCAGCAAAACTAAGACATTGTTCCAGCAAAAAAACAACGATGCAGACTCTCGTATGCATCAGAAGAAAATGTCGGTTCCAGCAAAATTTGGGCATGGTTCCAGCAAATTGGGACATCGTTCCAGCAAAAACAACAATGATGCATCATCTCCCATGCATAAGAAAAAAATGCTTGTTGTAGCAAAACTGGGACATGGTTCCAGCTCCGCCGCTTACCGGTTGCAGCTTTTGTCCCTTGTCGGCTGCAACTCCGCCATAGTAAGGGCCAGCTTCGACGCTCGCCGGTTTTGCGCATGGGAGGTTCGCCATCGCCGGCGTGGTACAGGACCTCGTAGCACCGCCGGCACGCAGCAGCGCCTGCAGCTCCCCTGCTGCATCATCTCCTCCTTCCTTAGGCGATCTGCTCGAGCATAGAGCACCTCGCCCTAGTTCATGTCTCGTGTGCGTGGAAAA